CCAGTGAGCGGGAACCGGTCTGTATGTGGGATCCGAGCCCTCGGCGGGAGCGCGCCGCCCCGCTCCCAAGCGGCGCACTGTAGCAGTGTGCCACTGGGCCAGCCCGGGGGATCTTAACTCTTGACTTGGTGTTGTCAGCACCATGCTCTCCCAAGTGAGCTAACCAGCCATCCCTTTATAGGGATCCGAACCCATGGCCTTGGTGTTATCAGCACCACACTCTCCCATGTGAGCCATGGGCTGGCCCTAAATTAAGATTTTTTTTAAAGATCACAAACATATATACAGTATAAATGCTACTATATTCAGGAGGGGAAAAAATCTAGCACCCTATGCACAGGGGAAAAAAACAAAAAAGAAATACTAGTATGTCAGCTTTGATTATATATAGTGGTAGTATTATGAGTGATTTTTAAACTCATACTTTAATTTGCCAGATTTGCTTTAAATAGAATAAACTGCTCTTTTTAACCTAATAAGAAAATTACCCTACCACGAGAACCTGCTTTGTCCGGGACTCTTCTTGACCCCGTCCCCTGGGCTGGCACTGCAGCAGGAGAGACAGGAAACACAAGTGCCAAATAGGGTGGCAGGCACTGTGGGAAGAAAATAAAGCAGAGTAAAGGGAGTGCAGAGTGATGGGGGAAGGGTTGTATTTGTCTATATTCCTTCCATATAATATTTTATTTTCATGCCTTAAAGTCATCATTTTATAGTTGTCAATGGGGAAGTTATAGGAATTTGCTTTGAATGTAAACTGACTTTATAGTGGGCCTGAAAATTGTGGGTGGTGTTCTTTTAACTTTTCTTTTTTCCTTTTCTTTTTTTGTTCTGTTTTGATAAAAACTCTGACACCAGTTTTGTTGTTGTTGTTGTTGTTGTTGCGACTTCTTGCTAAAAATGTAAGACTTGGGTGGGGGAGGGGCGAGGTGACTTGTATTCATTCATTTATTCAAGTTTTCTTTCTTTCTTTTTTTATTTCTTTCTTAAATGTATGGTTAACTTTTCTCTCTGTGGTAGTTTTGTTTTGTTTTGTTTTTGGGGGCAGGGGAGCTGGACGGTACAGGGATCAAACCCTGGACCTTGGTGTTGTCAGCACTGCACTGTAACCAACTGAGCTAACCAGCCAGCCTCAACAAATTTTCTTCAGTATGAAGCACATGTTATATACCACACATAGAAAGAGTAATAAATCAAGGTTTTGACCTCAAGGATTCACAATCTAGTGGAAGATAGTCAACTGATTCAAATACATCCCCAAATCCTAAGAACAATATATATTTCCATTGATATAGAAATGTTTTTTGTTTTTTTAAAGTCAGCTTATCTTCTGGGTTTTTAAACAATATTGTTTTGAGCACTTAATCATTAAAAAAAAAAAAAAATGGGCCGGCCCAGTGGCGCACTGGAGAGTGCGCCGCTTGGGAGCGCGGCGGCGCTCCCGCCAAGGGTTCAGATCCCATGTGGAGACCGGTTCCCGCTCACTGGTTGAGCGCGGTGCGGGCCCAACACCGAGGGTTGGGTTGCGATCCTGTTGCTGGTCCCCAGTGCGGGCGCGACACCGAAGGTTGCGATCCCGTTACTGGTCAGTAAAAAAGACAAAAAGGAAAAAAAAAATTTAAGTTCTCATTTCCTTTTTTCCTCCTGAGAACAAAAGGAATCTCCATTCTGCCATGTGTTAACAGTTTCCAAGGCTTCCACACCAGTGCTTCTCAGACTTCAATGTGCACATGAATCCCTGGGGATCTTGTTAAAATGCAGATTCTGGGTCAGTAGGGTTGGGTGGGGCCTGAGATTCTGCATTCCTAATACAGGCCCAGGTGATGCCCAGAGGGTTCTGTGACCTGACTGAGACTTTGCAGGGTTGCTCTGAGATAACTGATGTGAAGGGCCCAGTGCAGAAGGCAGGAGGAGCACACAG